GAAGGCCCTCCCTGGCCCCAGGCAGGCAGGGGTGGGGAGAGGCAGGGAGGAAGCAACTTACCCTCCCTCTTCTCCTGCCTCCTCCTGGCTGAATGAGGGCCGGAAGCGGGGCAGTATGTGCCCCGCCCCCCATACCTCACCCGGGGGAACTGCGATCCCCCGCGATCCCCCCCGAAATGACCTCTGCTTACAAATAAAACACGTTATAGCAATCCATTTAAAATCAAGATCGTCACAGACTAAAGCAATAGGGTGCCTCAACGGATAACATTGTGGTTCCAACCAGTAATTAATCTGAACAAAGTTTGAGTCCAGTGGCACCTTTAAGAGGAGAGCAGAATATAAATCTAAATTAGCGAACAAGCATCAAACCTATTGATCAAAAGAAGAAATCTGGTGGGCAGTTTATGGGAAGGAGCATTCCTCCATAATATGTCTGAATGTGACAAGTTGTTCTATGTAAGAATTGACCAAGAACTCGATAACATAAATAGGAACAGCATAATGTTTGAGTCCAGTGGCACCTTTAAGACCAGCAAAGTTTGATTCTGGGTATAAGCTTTGTTGCTCTTAAAGGTGCCACTGGACTGAAACTTTGTTCTAATGTTTGAGACCAACACGGCTACCCACCTGAATCTATAAATAGGAACAATGCATTTCGTTCGGGCAGCGGAGAGGGGAGTTTGGGTTTAATCTTAAACTTCTGCATGTGGCAGTACTGGATGTACTGCTTTGAAAAACGTTGTTCCTCTAGCTTAAGCCTCATAAAAAGTCCAAACTGGAATATGAGTTGTGAGGGCTGAAATGGGAGGACAAATGGACTTTCATAATATCTACTTGTCACAAGACCCCGACGACTCCCCAACCCTGTGTCCCAGGGTTCCCTCTGCTCTCCCGCCACCTTGGTGTCCCGCCCTTATAGCAGCAGGGGCCTCAGACACCTGAACGGGGAGGGAGGTTACTTCACCATCCCTACCAATCCGTTCCTTCTGGATGGTTGGCACTCTGTGTCACTCTGTTCCAGCACTGCCCTATTCCAATCCAGGTAGTCATCCCCGACCTTGCTGCTGCTTCCTTTTATTCCCCAACCCTGTGTCCCAGTGTTCCCTCTGCTCTCCCCGCCCTCCTCCCTTCCCGGGCCCCTCCCCCCTATATATCTGAGGACGCCAACTCCTGGGAGGGGCCGCGATCTCCGCTACTCCTTCCGGATTCGGGTGAGATGCAGCTGGACCGCTCTGTTCAGGACGCGGAGCCCGAACGTGCTGGTGGGTTCTCGCGTGCGGCCGTCTTGGCTCGGCCGGACGATCTCCCGACGGTTCTGCCGCCGCCGCTTGGGGTTGGTGTGTGGACCGCCAGCAGGCTCTCCTCGGCCGGCTTGTTCTGAGCTCCCCCGGAGCCCCAGGTAAGCAGAGGAGGGCCTTGTCAGGGGTGTGGGAGGGCCGGCGGTCCCGTCATCGGGACACTACTCATTTCATCATACTGCTAACTGGAAACGTCCACTGACGTATCCAGTGGTTTAACTAAAATCCATTCCATGATTACCTGTCCTGAAATATGCTAGGAAGCCTTACTAGACTGTCTCTCAGTTCTATCTATCTATCTATCTATCTATCTATCTATCTATCTATCTATCTATCTATCTATCTATCTATCTATCTATCTATCTATCTATCTATCTATGAATTTATATCCCGCCCTCCCCGAAGGCTCAGGGCGGCTCACAAGAGGCATAAATGCCAAGGTTGAAACAGTAAGACAATATGAAACAATATAAAATACAATATATACAATTCACTAAAAAATAACGGTGCTCCAAAAGTTGCTTAACCATGAATTTCAAGATGGGGTTCTGGAATTATTTATGCTCGAACAACAGAACAACAATATACGTCCCGGCAGCACTGTCATCCGCCAGGAACGTCTCGCGCCCCCAGTAATACCCGCTCCACAGATGGTCAAATTGCGGAGATGAAGGAGGCGATGGTGGAATAATGGTGGCGGCGGCTCCTACTCAAAAGCCTGGCGGAAGAGCTCCGTTTTACAGGCCCTGCGGAACTGCACCAGGTCCCGCAGGGCCCGGATCTCTTCTGGGAGCTTGTTCCACCAGGTCGGAGCCGCCACCGGAAACGCTCTGGCCCTGGTGACAGCAAATGTGATGTTCCTGGGGCCTGGAATATCCAGGAGACATTTCACCTGTCATTCCAAAGCCTTGGATGGGCATCAGGGCAAAGTGGCCATTGTAGCCCCTGGGAACTCTCCCAGTGGGCCGTTAGCCTGCTCCCCACCCTCCGGGCTGCCTCAGCCCCGTGTCCAGCAGGATGACTCTCAGCTGAGCCCTGCTCAGGACGGGGAAGGAGGTGCCCAACCCGGACAAAGCCCTGCTATCTCAGCATGCAGTCGATGTCAAGACCCGATGCCTCCATGCTAAGACTTAAGGGAGCTTTTTTTGGCAGGCAGAGAAGAAAGTAAATATTCCTCAAATTGCTCACCAGTGTTTTCGGATGTATTGTTATCCGGGTTTTGGGGGGGGTGTTGGGTGGCTCAAGTGGTTAAGACGCTGAACTGCAGACCAGAAGGTCGGTAGTTCAGCAGCTTAAGACCCGAGTGCCACATGACGGAGTGAGCTCCCGTCTCTGGTCCCAGCTCCTGCCAACCGAGCAGTTTGAAAGCAAGAAATTGCAAGTAGATAAATAGGTATCACTTCGGTGGGAAGCTAATAGCGTTGCGTGCACCTCGGCGTCTAGCCATGCCGGCCACAGGACCGTGGAAACGTCCTTGGACAGCGCTGGCTCTTCTGCTTGGAAACCGAGATGAGCTCCGCATCCCTAGAGTCGGATTCGACTGGCTTTCAAGCGAGGGAAACCGTTACCTTACCTGGGAATAGGAAGTGTACAGAACTATACTGCACTTATTTCTTTTTCTTTCTCAAACTGTGTTTGTAGTAAATACGTTTGCTTGAAACACGTAACTAAAATAATTCTGGTTTTTTTCTAATTGTTTTCCCCCCCACACACACAGGCAGCTCTTTATGGATGTGGTTGCTGGGCTGAAAATACGGGAATTCAGAATCCTTATTCTACAGCTGTGAGTACCTCAGGTATTTGCTATTCTTATAAATATTCGAGCTATAATTTACATACAGTGATAGGACGGATGTCGTCGGCATACATAAACACAGAAGAAGAACTTCGTTTCAGCTTGAAGTCACCCTGCCTGTGTCCGCTATGAAATACGTTATATTCAGGAAAAACAGAACAAAATAACTTTTTAAAAATGGCTGTGTGTTTTTTAATTGCAAGCCGCCTCCAGCAGAACTCTGAAGAGGTGGCACAGATATATTCTAAGGAAATTAATAACTGGAATAGTGGATAGATATGGCAAAAACTCCATTTGTAATTGTTTCTCTGCAAGCTCTAATTAGCATTTTTGACATTCTTAGATGGTTGTTGTGATGTGCATTCCGCAGGCGAATGAGCTTGCGTGATTGTTTTAGCCTGCTTGATGGCTTTGCAGGGAAAAGGCAGACATGCATTGGTGTGAGGTGCGTAATGGCAGCTGTGCCACGTATAATGCCAGTCCACGTATAAGCCACACAGAGAGCAGTCTTCAGCAGGTCTGTTCGGAATCCTAGTCGGGTCTATTCAGTGGGGCTTATTTGCAGAAAAGTGTTCTTAGGACAACAGTGATGAAGTCTGGTGGTCGTAGAGATAGCTGTGCCCACAGCGTGCAGATCAGTAAATATGCCTAATGTGCATAACATATACAGACCAGCTCGAAACCTGTGCTTCGCTACAGTATTTGACTACGATAAATCCAGTTATAATACTTCTGGGGAGAATTTTTTTGTCTGTGTGGTTTAGGACAGGCTTTTTAGTGTTGGTGTTTCTGGCACAATGTTTGCCAGGAGTCTTCCTGGGGATTTTAAGTGGTGAGAGAAGAAGAGGAGGAGGAGCAGGTGGTGGTGATTGGATTTATACCCCACCCTTCACTACCTGAAGGAGTCTCAGAGCAGCTCACAATCTCCTTTCCCTTCCTCTCCTCACAACACACACCCTGTGAGGAAGGCGGGGCGGAGAGAGCTCTTTCGAGGACTGCCCTTGAGAGAACATCTCTGAAGGAACTTGTGACTGACCCAAGGTCACACCAGCAGCTGCATGTGGAGGCGTGGGGAATCAAACCCAGTTCTCCCAGAGTCCGCACTCCTAACCACTACACCAAACTGGTGTGAAGCGGAGTTGGACTGAGGGAGGGGTGGTGTGTTGAACACTTCTTCAGGTTCATGAGGGAGCCACATATCGACACGGCTCCTAGAAAGGTCTGGCACCATCTCCCCGTGAGCATTCACGAACTGTATTGCCATACCGACTTTTTTGAGAAACTCCCTAGTCAGGAGTCTCGAATCACTGATGTTATTACACAGAAGACAGAACTTCCCTGAACGCCAACGGTCTTCAACCGTCCGCAGTCTCCTGTGACTTGTTTTTACCTCAGAACGTCGAGCTCCACAGCTGGCCGATCAGAGAGAGCTTTACCCCTTTGGGAAAACACAGTTTACCCCTTTTCACCCCCTTCGGGGTCGAATTTCTAAAAATCCCTCCTTAGTGGGCGCTGGAGTCATGGAAGGAACGCAGTCCCCGAATTTTGTGCTCCTGCGTCCAGGGGTTTGGGCTGGGCCGTGGGTGAGTCAGTCAGGACACCTGCTTTTTATACATAGAAATAGACAGATGGCAGAATTAGGTTTACAGGAGCTTGATTTTTGTAGATCGCTCATTGGTGGGGTTGCCGACTCCAGGTCGGGAAACGCCTGGAGATCCGAGGGGTGGAGGCTGCGGAAGGGACCTCCGCCGGGTCTGGTGCCATAGAGCCAGGGGTGTCGAACTCATTTGTTATGTGGGCCGGATCTGACATAAATGTCACTTTGTTGGGCCAAACCATGTGTGTCCTGAAACACAATGGCAGGTACTGGAGCTATGGAGCTGCGGTGGCTCAAGCGGTTAAGACGCTGAACTGCAGGCTGTGGAAGGTCAGTAGTTCAGCAGTTCGAGACCCAAGTGTGCCGCATGACGGAGTGAGCTCCCATCTCTAGTTCCAGCTCCTCCCAACCTAGCAGTTCGAAAGCAAGAAATTGCAAGTAGATAAATAGGTACCACTTGGGTGGGAAGGTAACAGCGTTCCATGCGCCTTGGTGTTTAGTCATGGCGGCCATATGACCACGGAAACGTCTTCGGACAGCGCTGGCTCTTCGGCTTTGAAACGGAGATGAGCACCGCAACCCTAGAGTCGGACTCGACTGGCTTTCGAGCAAGGGAACCTTTACCTTTACTGGAGCTATAAACTGTTAAGGACAGCAGTTGGTAATTTTGTTCGTCTTTAAGGCACTACTGGGTTCGCGCTCTTCTCCTACGGCCACATTCATGATTATTTATGCATGCAAGTATTTATAACACTGCTGCGGGTAAGCTTGTTTTTGGAAGTTGGATGTTGTGTGATTCAAAATCCCGGCAGGCTTGACTTTTTCATCCCGCTGTTGTTGATAGGTAAACGGTTTGTTCTGAGGGCTATGTAAATTCAAGCAGCCATCTTGATGTACTTAACTAAAATGGTGGTATCTGGGTGTAATCTTGACCTTGAAGACAACCTTTCCCCCTTTGTGGGGGTACCAAATTTTAGAGCAGTAAATATTCCGGTGGTTCCACAGTTGTACCCTTTAAAAAAAACAACCCTCGTTTGCCATGATGTTACATAAGAGGAGGAGGAGGAGGAGGACTCGGGGTCTCAGAGCAGTTTATCATCTCCTTCCCTCCCTCTCCTCACAACAGACATCCTGTGAGGTAGGTGGGGCTGAGAGAGCTCTTTCGAGAACTGCTCTTGAGAGAACAGCTCTGAGAGAACTGAGACTGACCCAAGGCCACCCAGCTGGCTGCATGTGGAGGAGGAGTGGGGAATCAAACCTGGTTCTCCAGATGAGAGTCCACCGCTCTTAACCACTACACCAAACTGCCTATTTGAGTTAGTTCAAATGGACTAAGAAGGGTCTCAGGGTTAGCCATCTGTTTGTTGAATAATCTGTCATTGTGGAGTGTTTGAACTGGTGCCTTTTTGGTTTCTGGTTCTCTTTCCAGTTTCTTTGTGTTTGTCATAGAGCAAACTGGCTCAGTTTTCCATTTCTGGAAACTGCTTATCTTATTTTTTAAAAGAAGTCCACATTCTTCTTCATTTGTTTACCACTGCTATAAAAGCGGGAACCCGTTCTCTGATATATGTTTAATTCCGTAGCATAAGCAGCATAACTGATAAATCGATGGGACGAGTTGATGGTTGCGAATTAAGATGCATATAACATTCGCTGTGACTACCTTGGGTGAAAAGTTACTGCTTAGTGTTTTGAAAGGTCAGAACACGAATGAGTTGAAGCACTAGCTAAATGCTTGTGTTCTTTCATCCTCTTTTTAGTTCCTTAAGAGGTTGCCGCTCTCAAAATAATTGACTGTCCCTTGCCTGAACGTCAGCAGTTTTGGAACCGCTGCAAATGTTTGTTTGTTTGCTTAGGAGATTTGATATGCTGCCTTTTCAGACTCCCGCCTGCGGCAACTCAGTGGCAGAACATCTGCTTGGCATGCAGAAGGTCCCAGGTTCAATCCCAGGCATCTCCAGTTAAAAGGATCAGGTAGTAAATAGAGTGAAGGACTTCTATCTTAGATCCAGGAAGAAGAAGAAGAAGAGGAGGAGGAGGAGGAAGAGATTGGATTTATACCCCGCCCTTCACTACCCAGGGGAGTCTCAGAGTGGCTTACAAACTCCTTTCCCTTCCCCTCCCCACAACAGATAGACACCCTGTGAGGTCGGTGGGGCTGAGAGAGCTCTGACAGAAACAGCTCTTTTTCAAGAACAGCTGTGCCAGAGTTATGGCTTGCCCGAGGTCATCCAGCAGCTGCGAGTGGAGGAGTGGGGAATCAAACCCGGTTCTCCCAGATTAGAGTCCGCGCACTTAACCACCACACCAAACTGTAGCCGCTGCCAGTTTGTGCAGACAATATTGACCTTGAGAACTAATGGTCTGATTCAGTAGAAGGCAGCCTCATGTGTCAGGTGAGAACGACACAATGAGATCATTAAAAACAACAGCAATGATAATTCCGTAATAAAGGGAGCTATAAAAGCCAGCCCGGAGCCCTAAAGACGGTGTTCAGCGTCCTAACTGAGATTAATAAAACAGTCCTTGATCTACAAGCAAACTGTAACATCAGCTATTAAAACATTAGTTATATAGTTCTCTCAGTGGCTGCAGAGATCAGTGGGATTAACCACTGATACACCAGTTTGGTGTCGTGGTGAAGTGGGCAGACTCTGATCTGGGAGAACTGGGTTTGATTCCCCACTCCTCCACTTGCACCTGGCTGGATGACCTTGGGCAAGCCATAGTTCTGACAAGAGCTGTCCTTGAAAAAGGGCTGTCCCTGTCAGAGCTCTCTCAACCCCACCCGCCTCACAGGGTGTCTGTTGTGGGGAGGGGGAGGGAAAGGCGTTTGTAAACCGCTCTGAGACTCCCTTGGGTAGTGAAGGACAGAATATAAATCCAATCTCTTCTTCTCTTCTTGTTTCATCCTATAAATGGCAATGAGCCTGTGGAATATGATGGGATAGAAATTTTAAAAAATAAATCAGAGTGTGCTAACTCGTGTCTTTCACCTAGCTGTACTATGCTGCTGCAAACAGAGCAAAATGGGAGACATGTTCAAGCTGAACCAGTTTTGTGTCCTTCCGTAGAAGAGGTGGTATATCTTCTCCAACAGTGGCTCAGTTTATCCGCTTGCTTTATATTCTGGTCAAGAAGGCTTTCTTCCCCCACAGCAAGAGTCCAGGAGCACCTTGAAGACTAACAAAATTTGTGGGAGGGGATGAGCTTTCGTGAGTCACGGCTCACTTATTTGCAGGGGTCATTTCCTGCAGGAGTGCGCAGGAGCGGAGCTCCGGTAGTAAAGAGCCCAGGGGGCGGGCACATGCAACAAGCCCCGCCCCCTGCTCCCAGCAGCCCTCAGTCAGAGCAAGAAGCAGCCAGGTAAGTTGCAGAGACCCCCCCCCCCCACCCACCCCTAA